ATGGTATACATACAGTCGTAAGCTTTCCGTTACGTTAATCCAAAATAGTTATAAACTGGGGTAAAAACTGTCTCTGTAATTTATTGATTTTAGAAGGTTTTCTGTGAATAACGTACATAGTATAAGTGAACCTTAATAGTCCGTTAAATTAGTTCAATGAATGCAGGACTCCAGAGACCGCAAACCCCGTGCTCTCACTTGAAAATTGTAATAAATAATCCTCAGTGCATAAACGGGCAAACTTCTCCCAAACTGTCAACAACTAATTAACTATCAATATTTTATTATCACACCATTACCAAACCTGCTCATAAATCACACCAGTAAAAACCGCTTTCATAAAAGAACCACATTTTTCGGTAAGAGCGTCGACTTGCATACACACCGTCACTGGTTGATTTTTACACGTAGGTATGGCGTCGCGGCTGAATTTTATTGGGCAATAAATTACATGTAATTCCTGAAAACGCGTTATTTTCTCCCGAGAGTATCTCGCGCACATCTAAATAATTTATGGCGGATTGCACACAATAGTGCGGTAGAAAATTCCTGAACGTGGTGCCATCTTCAGCTGTCGTCGGAGTGCAACATGATGCAGCATTGAAATCTCTCGCATTCTGCAAACGCCTTGCTAACTACGGTTACGTGTTCGGAATGCCGCACGCTATTTGAATTTTATCAAATTGATGTAATACCTGAGACTACCCTGTTCTCGAGGGGAACAGCTTGGTTGCTAGCGATTTCTGGAACCAGACGTGACGGCGAACAAAAAGTGTCTCAACCAGTTCGAATGAAATTTGATGCCGCTGTGTCGTATTTAACCGCTCACATTCGAGATGAAAGTGCTTCAGATTAACAGTATTGGGAATTTTTTTAATTAACTATTTTCAAATTAAACTCAAACTATTTACGTTAAAAAATTTAGTAACACTTATTATTATAAATTGATAAGATCTTATGCTACTCAACATTAGTACTCGTATGGAATTCATCATGAAGTTATTTGAATTTAGTACGCCTACCTATTACTTACACCTCATTTACTTGCATAAAATGACAATTTTTACGTCCCTAGCATAAACTAAAGAACTCGTTAAGGAAGTATATTGTAACATTTTTTAACGAATGTTTAATTTTATGTTTGTAGAATACGAAAATATTGCTCCCTCTTTTTCATCTTCTGTGTGTCTATCATTATAGATTTTATTAAACCATAATCTTGAATACTATTAGATTAATTGGTATGAAATTTTAACCGTGCGGATTATCTAGTTTCACTCGCTGGAAACAATTTTTGTTTTCATATAACACAAGAAATTTTACGTGTTGCAAGTAGACAATAAAACCAATTAATTTGTGTCAGTGGCTTATTACAACCAAAAACACCATATTTAGTGGGTGCAGTTTATTTAATTCTTTATGGATATGAGTGTAGATAGTGTTCTTTACTTCGAAATTTAATTATTCTCTTAGTCAGCATCATTGGTTGGCGAATAATAACCATTTATTTTAAATAACAATTATCAAGAGTTTAGACAAGATCGTAGGAAGAGGGGTGTGTTATTGGTCATTGTTCCGAACATTCCTACCATAAAATTGGATGTATTTGATCGCCCCGAAGACATATAGCATTCGTAAATAATTTCACTCTCTAAATGTATAAATACCTAATTATTATAACACAATGAACATATATTTCCGTTCTATATTTCTCACTGTTGTAATAACACGGTGTCTTCATCTCAATTAATATTATTAGTAAACATCGTTCCCAACACATACAACCTACATCTACACGATTGTATATTGTAATGTAATTTTTACTAGTTGATAAGTTATTATTTTTTAAGTGTTAACAGAGTATTTTTAAAAAGTTAATATTGAACTGATTAATCTTTTTGGCCATTACAAAAGAGGAATCTCTAATGAATTTCTTGAAAATTTGAGAACATAACATTTAGTGTTAAATTGGAATACATTATCGAAATCGCTAGGTATATTTAATTTAAACAATGTTAATTAATAACAGTGTTTAAAAAATTATATTTTAAATATTATATCAAATACATATATAAGTCGTTTTACTTGTAACGCAATATTTCATTATTTATTTATTATCACTTTTGATGGTGCTCATGACTGGCTTAAAAAATTAAGGTTTATTATAAACTATAAAATATTGTCAAGTGTTTTTAGAAATAATAAAATTCAGCTGAGAAATAGAAAGGATGATGAAAAGCTGCATTTTGTGTAAGAATGCACATGAGTGGATTTTTTTTTTCGACTTTATGAAGTTTTAAATTCCAATAGGTACCTCGTGTTTACAGACAAGAGACACGGCATTAATGTCTGGCGTATGAAATTATAAAAACTAATCGAGCACTTGTTTGCTGTCATTAGTTGACGTATAAGTTTCAGTCAACTTTTGTAATAATTTTCTCAACGCGAATAGGTAACAAGTACAACACAAACATGATCGATTCTGCACATCGTTGTTATATAAATAATAATCAGCTACTGCAGTAGTGTTTTCAATAATGCCCGAAAAATCCAAAAACAGGTACATATAATCTACCTTGACAACGTTAATTTCTTTGTAAATACAGAGTGACTATTAATGTTGGTGATTTTTTTTGTCAGATTGTCAACATATTTAAAATTTTATGATGGCATACCTGATGTCAAATTGAAGTTTTAAACACCAATTCTGTAGCTGCCATCTTCTCATTGATTTTCAGGCACGCTCATGCCAAAATTGACAATTGTGAACTGACATGCTAAGATTACAACTAATAATTCAGAATTATCAATCCAAAAATTTGTTTCGGTCATTAATAGCCCCTTGTTTAAAATTATTATTAATTAAACGACAATCGAACATAATGTTCTGAATATTAGAGTCGTTCCGGTTCCGTTGTAGATGCACTGTGTATAAAATATAAGAATTAGGAAAATAAAAGTATTTATTTTTGATTGACCATTTATTAGACTAAAATCAAATTCACAACTTAACTGAAAAGCACATTATTAAAATATCAAATAGAAAATAAAGAGATCGAGTTAGAATACGTTCACTTGACCCGTACTTTATGGGGTAATTACCTACACCACTTGGGGTAGGTGAGTACACGTCCTGAGCTTGTAACAATAAAGTCAATATAAAGAAAATATAAATAAAAGAGCTTTTTATTTTAAATCAATAGAATTTTGGCGTTCTTTACCCTAAAATATATTTTGTATTCGGAGACGCTTCTATATTTAAACTAAACAAATTTAACAAACTTCTTACTTAATCAGTCTTTTGATCAATGAATATAATTAATTATTATTACTTTTTAATCAATTCATTGAGTCATTATCAAAGAATATGCATGCGCACAGTTTAACAAGCTTCTTACTTAATCAGTCATTTGATCAATGAATAAGATTAATTATTATTGCTTTTTAATCAATTAATTGAGTAATTATCAAAGAATATGCACTGCGCACACTTTATCCAGGAGTTAAATTTCAAAGGATTGTTTACAAAAACACAAATATGTTATATAACCTCAAAATTTCTTCGTAATATTTGACGTAATTAAATTCTTAATTAAAAAAAAAAACTAACTTACCGTTTCTGGATCAGGAATGTAGGTATAACACATTTTATCATAACAGAAAACTACTAATTAATGCAGCGAATATAATTTTTATTAAAAAAAAAAAATGAATAGGCGGTCATGCGTCGCAGTAACAAATCATAACTAGTATATCACGTGGGCATTTTCAATCGTACGAAACTCATAATGTCACTCCTCGCCTCTGCTCCGAAGATAAAAGGAGTGCGCTCACTTACCCGCTGCGCTCAGTTACCCCGAATGACTCTCATTCTTATTTTGTCATTATTATACAAAGACGTGTGTATTCTCACATTTTCGAGAAAATAGGGTGACTCATTCTTAATTAGACTAATAAAAAACTTCTCATCAACATCGATAATTCCAGTCATAGCAAAAAATAAAACTAGTCACAGCGCATTACCAGTGCAAGAAAAAAAAGGAAAGGGCGGACATCGAATCTACGACCGCAGGTCGCAGTTCTCCTAGAAATCCCCTACGCTACGAAGCCTTGTAGCCCGTGTTGGTAATACAACGTGATTATACCGTGCAAATATTTTTGCGAAAATTTGAAGGTTTAGCGAAAAAACTGAAAGCGGATTCGTGCACTACAAGTATAGGAATATATGTTTGTATAACATTCAAATCATTTTAAAATACAATTCATTGAAATGACGCCATCAAATTGTTGCTGGGGACGATTAGCCAAATTTTGGTTTAACCGTCCGCATGATACATATTTCTAATATACTTACATACAAAATCAGACAACAATCGGTCCAGCAGTTTCGAAGATTACGTGTCTAATAAAAATGGATACATACACCAGACAGACAGACGGACGGAAACGGGGAACTGCTTTTTTCGTACTATAAAAACGTCGAGAAAACATAAAAATGGCCATTTATCTGATGCATTCGATTACTATACTTCCTGACTTACGCTCAGGAAGTAAAAAGTCACTTACATCTTTGTAACACACTCAGTTCGAGGTTTCTCTATTTGAAGCGTAGAGAAATGCAATGAAATGCCTAAATTAATGTTATCTCGATATTTCTGTGCCAGTTCATCGCCACGGCAGTGTAAATATTTCGTCTTATATAAACACCTGAAATTAATTTCTGAAATTTACTTAATTGTAAATATTGAAATGAATACATTTATTATTTTCAAAAAGTTTATAACGTTATATTAAATAATTATTAGATAAAATTATACAGAACAATATCTCCTGTGCATGCCATTTACGTTGTGCCTTGAGACAAGCGAAGTTCTATGTAAATAACTTCACAGATTTATTGAAAACACATTCCTTCCTTTCAAAATTCGCTCTGTAACTTCAAACATCACTCTCGAGAATTCGTCCAAGAGCTGAAAAATAAAACACTGTTTCTGTTCTAGGTTTATACAGCGGCGCTTTGTCATCTGAAGCTCATGAAACAATTCCGCGGAAAGTGTCTCCGAACGGCGATTACATTTCCCACAACCTAACAAGTTTTCACGACGACGGTCAGGTGCACTTCAACATATCCCTACATGATAGAGAACACCTATTGATACTTGAACCGGTCCGAAATTTTTTAGCTCCAGCTCTCGTCGTCGAGAGAAGAAAAAGAGACACACATTCAAGATCAAAACCGAGCGATAAATCCAAAAACTGTCATTTTCAAGGCATTGTTCATGGCCAGCCGAATTCCAGGGTAGCTGTTTCGGCATGTAATGGACTGGTGAGTTTATTTCATTGGCGTCGGCAACAGTCATGACCAGAGAAACGAATCCTAATTCACACATTAACTAGTTTGGTCGAGAAACCTCGGATTATATCGATAATGCAATATTTGGTGTCAGGTAAAGTGGGAAAGCAAAATGCGATTCTTTTAAAATACTGGCAATTTTTTTTCAGTAGTGGATTGTTTTAAAATTTTCCAATGTATTTCCGTAACCCATAAATGCTTACTTGAATGCATTTCATTAAATTTTGCACATATATTTATTCTGATACGTGTATATTATACCTACACACAGAATTTAATGATACTGTTAATTAATTTCAGAAACTATTTTTGTTAGGCTGGTAGTTAAAATTTTTACTTTTTTTTTTCTTTCATTTAGACAGAGAAAATGCTGTTTGTCTATTATAGAATGTAATATATTTTGATTAAATCAGTACATCAGTTAAAAAAAATTACGACTTACGTAGAACATATTAAGTAAGTATAATGAAACACATGTGTCACATATCATGTGATCTCAACAGCTAATTTAAATCGGATGGTGCTTTTAAATAATTTTTGTCTATACAAATCTCATATTATTCTGTCAGCATGTTTTCAAGTTCAAATTAATTAACACGTTTAACGTAGATATGACATAATAAGTAGGCGTATAATTGCATGGCACTAATGATGTTCTACACTCGGAAGTTTACGGCGGATCTGACTCCGGCTTCCTCATGGATGTGAATTCATACATTTTTCTATAACATACTTTATTTCTGTTTCGGAGTAGTTTAAAAAATCGTGTCACATGTATATATGTTTCTTAAAATAACATAGACTTTTAACTATTATACATTTTAAAGAAAGCGAATATATGGACACTAATTTGGATCACATCAACAGTCAGACGATGTGGATCTCATCCGGACCTAAATAAATTTCCCGATTAAGATCTGCTGATGTGACCTAGATAAACATAAGTCCATATTTTTGGAGGGATTTCGGTTTTGCACTACGAATCCAAATTCATGAAAAATTTTTGATCCAACTCTACTTTTTGGTTTGGATCTAACAATACTAAAAATTAGAGAACATACGAAATAAACGTTATTTTTATAGTTTGTAAAAATTAAATATACTTACTTATTTTGAAAATCTGCACATAGTATTAGAAACACTGCTTACATCACACCATTGAAAATTTCTGAAGATAATTTTTGTAGATGGTTTCATCGTGAACATTATTAGAATTTTCATGCACCTTGTGTTTGCTTTAAATTTAATTCTAAATTTTTACAACAAATAAATCAACACTCGGGGATAGAATTACTATTGATGTCATAGACTCTTATTACGTGTTTGGATTAACAAAATTATTAAATTTGATGTTTAAACGAGCACACCCATATAGTATAAATGCTCCATCACAGTTATAAAACGCAAATATGAAGTATCCCCCACTTTTCCTTGCACACCTGACGATGTGTCCTTTTAAAAATATGAAACTGTGTGTATTAAATAAGCATAAATTTCGTCGTCCGAAAAACTAAAATCTCATTGGAGGTTTCAGAGTTTCACATTCGTATACCCAATCCCATAAATTTTTATGCCGACGCCTATGCTGGCAGCAATAAAACCGAAAAGTGCCACAACCCGAATAAAATTCATATTTAAAAGACAGGTATGTTACACACTGAGCATGGTAAATATTATATCGAACCGTCCCATCACTTAATCAAACAAATCGATCCCGGCCACCCCCACCTCGTATATAAGAGATCGACTGTTGTGTCTGGTAATGCGAAAAAGAAGAAAAGAAAGAAAAGAAAGAAGCACTTTCGTGACTGCGGCACCCGCGAACCGAAAAAAATGGCCGAGTAAGAATCACCGCGTTTAGTAATTAAGGAAATAATAAATAATTCCGATTTTCTAGACTCGAATGGCAGAAACAGCTCGGAAAAGTGAAGGTGCAAGAGAAAAAGCACAAAAATAAACATAAAATTGATATCCCGAGCGTACACCAGTCACAAATGAAAAAACATAAATATAAGAAAGTTGATGGAAGGCAAAGGCGCTCGGTTAGCACACCGCAGTATGTGGAGACATTGCTCGTGGCGGATCCCACCATGGTAGAATTTCACGAAGACGGCGATATAGAGACATATTTGCTCACCATCATGAACATGGTAATCATTCAATTACTTATTCATTAGGAACATGCATTTCTTCTTGTAGCCAACGGGAATTGCAGCATCCCGTTTTATTGCTTATTCACAACATTTTTGCAATTTAGTTGCTCGTAAAGTTTGCTATTTCACATAATCTCGATTCTGTGAATACCTGTGCTAATTACTACCGCTAAGAACCCGAAAAGTTTATTTTATTATTCGTTCATAATAAAATTTTTATGATCGATTTTATTGACAAATAATTTAGTTCGTCTCGTCAATAAGCGACCGAAATTTTAACGCAGATTATGAATTGCTAATGACATTTTTATTCTCTCGGAAAATCTTATCGGCGCTGAGAGTTTTTAGCAATTAACAGCTCTCGCCTCTCTTCACGAAGACATAAACTGCGCGTTAAAATTCAAGAACATGAAGAGCTACTTAATTGTTATTCTCGAGATGATAAGACAAACATTAAAACTTACAGTTATCACTTTCTTCTGGCAAATGATATCTTTTCCTATTTAGGTTGAAAATTTAGTATAATGTTTTTGTCTGGAATATCTGAGGGACACTCATCATTAACGGCAACTGGATCATAGATGGTTCTAACAAAAGCAGTAAAAGCAAACTTGTTATTACCGATGTGCACAATTTTTGCTCCTTTAAATTAAGCGGTCTATTTATATTAGATAGTCAAAAATTATCTTAATCGTTGTCTTTTCTACACAATGATAATAATTTATATCATAAAATATATTAAATTTAGATAACACAGCGTCCGTTTGACTGACCTACATAATAGGGTGAGATTTAAAACTATTCACATCAACAAACGCTTACATACCTTGCAAATACAAAGTCATGTTTATATTCAGTAATTAAGTGCTAGACTATATTTGCTTAGCAATTAAACTCTTAACAATTTTGGAGAAATTGTTTACAAGAGACATTTATCTATAATTCAGAATCCACTTGTTTTTATATAAGTACTATCTAGCTTGCAAATCATTTTTGGAACACACTGTAACATACTCCTTTCCCTAACATTTAATACTCGTAAGTCATAATCCATCTCGTATTAAACATGATAGGTACATGATTTATAAAAACATGTTTATTAATCAAGCTTTATACATGCATATCGAAAAATGCACATAATGAATTTTTCAAATTTTCAAAAAATTAATAACACTATTTTGGAAAATACAGAGTGTTAACTACATGCAATTTATTTTTCAATCTCTTTAAAGTATCTAGTGATCACGTGATAATGGAAAAACTATTACGTCAAAGTTAACATTATTAAATTACAAACAAAGGAGCATATCATGCTTCTCATTTCCGATGAAATGTAAATTGACGACTTGATGACTTGAAGATGACTGCATCGAATTTGTCGTTAGATTAGTAATTTCGAGAAAATTTTAAAAATGTGCCGATTCGCTGCTAATCGCCGCCGTATTCTTATCTCTAAATGTCAAAACTATCAAATTTTAAATGGCGTGAATGGGCGCATGACCATACTTTTGAAAGCTTAATCCATTCTACACATTGTTTAAGAAAAAACGAATAATTACCATAACAATATCTCATTTGCATATTCTGGACAGGTTGAAAGTGAGCCCCCATTACTTTCTGTCCTGGACGTTTTGATGCACAACAATGTATTAGTAAATATCGTTCACAATTTCTAAAAATACGAATTTCATTTAAATACTATCCTTCCTTTTTTTTAATAAATTCCAAAGCACATTCGACTTTCGATCATATGGTATTATAAATACAACACTTGCCAAAAAAATATAAATGTGTACATGCTGAAAAGTACGACTGACAATGAGTTGCGTAACTATTAAAATTTGCAAACATTGTCTAAAATTCCTACTTTATAGCGAAATTTGATCGAGACTACAGTTGAAATTTTTTTAGACACTCTTAATTTATCAACTATCACATATAGTAGGCCACTTGCAACAGTACACGCATCGACATCTTCCAGTATTCGCCAGAAGTTGGCGGCAGTTGAAATTATTTCTTTCAGTTATTTATAGATTTGTGGACTAAAAAATGTTGAGTGTATTAAGAATGTGTCAGTATGACGTAATATAGTTTTTTTTTCATTAAACATATTATTTTGCTTTTATCAAATAAATTGATAATTAGATTTCACCAAAATGCATTTTATGGAAATTTTAAATTTGTACATTTATTCGAGTCTTATAAGATGGTATTTGTCAATCTCGTTGTTAAATTTAGTCCAGAATCCTCAATTACAAGGAAATAATACCTGTAAAACAACTGTTGAATATCTGGTAACTAAATAATCACAGAAGCCTCTAAGATGTAATTCATACAGTCACTATTTTAGCCAATTTTATTAATGGAATAACAACTGCATTTCTAAGAAATAAAAATTCGCCAAACTTGTGCGCAAATTTAGTCAGTAGAACAGTGCTTACTTCCTTGTTGGATATTAGCCACGTGATGTAATGAAGAGACTTTATTTATATGATAAATCATTATGATTACTTTCATCTTTCAGGGATCGTACCCTAAAGTCGCAATAATTACAGCGACATATATACATACTACAAAAATTATAAACAATAAAATGTTGTTATCAACCTTGAGTTATTACAAGCTTGTTCAGTTTTTGCACCACTTCTTTGACAAATAAGGTACTGATTAAGTATAAGCATTTACTTTGTGATAAAAAATATAAAGCTCAATCTATAATTTCCAAACCAATGCTTATTATATAGGTACAAGATTAGAACTGTGTTAGAATAAACTTTTCGATCAACGAACACTTAAAAGAGATCTATATGAAAATAAGTTATTTAACTCTTAGAAATAATATAATATTATCTTTTAAACTTAGTTACTTTAAAGTTTATAAAATTAAACAAAAAAATAGATGTTGATCAAGATCAGTTAGTTTCAGTGACTCACCTATGATCCAGTTTCTGTTACATAAATACAAACACGTCTTTATATAAGTACAACCTTGTGGAATAACAAGATATTTCTTTTGATGCGCAGTTTTAAAGCCCTCACTGTCTACATAAGTTATCGCCCGCCATCCCTTTAAGCGTTGTTAAAATTGATGTGATTTTTTACCGAAGGTGTCGTCCCTTTACATGGACCCAAGTATAGGCAATTTGATAAAGGTCGTTGTAGTAAAAATCATTTTAATAGACGATGTTCTGTCGGAACCGGAACTGAACGTAAGCGTCAACGCAGATCAGACCTTAAAAAACTTTTGTAAATGGCAGAAAAATTTAAATCCTGGAAACGATTCTCACCCACATCACCACGATGTTGCCATTCTCATCACGCGAAAGGATATTTGTGCCAGACAAAATGCTCCTTGTAATACGCTCGGAGTTGCCCATGTTGCTGGAATGTGTAAAAGTAGCAGAAGTTGCAGCGTTAATGAGGATAATGGGATCACTTTGGCTCACACCATTGCACACGAGATGGGACATAAGTAAGTATTGATTTGTGCGATACTAGGCTTATTAATTTTTTTCTTGTGTGGTGATGGAAAGGGTGATGTTTTTTCCTGATGTTATACTAACAATAGATGTTCCCTTCCAACAGGCAGTCATAACACTGTTTTAAATTTTTACTTTACTTTGATCTATCATCAAGTGTATGCAAGTAAATCAAATACAAATAAATTATAAATGTAAAACGATTGTTTAGATGATCATGATGATACTTGCAAAAGTATATTTTCTACTTTTGAATTTTACACTGATTAGATGCGATCTTTGATGTTACAAACTTTACACAGAGTCACTTAAAAGTATTTCATTTCATTACATTAGAAAGCATACTGCTTTTATTGGATTAGTTATAGTACTTGAGTTAATGGCTCGTCTCTAATTAAATTCAGACTTTTATCGTCATATAAACTGCACTACATATGTATAAGCTTTTTATTCAACAAGCGACGATGGAAAATGATTTTTTACTTATCTAATGTAAGCGAGAGTCATTTCAACGAACGAACGTCTAATTTCATATTTTCTCTGTACGTTTCACAGTTTACGGGTGCTTGTCGTATGTCTGTCTCTCTGTATTGATGATTTACTAGACAAATAAAAGCTCCTGGAGTGATTACTGTAAAATCTTACGTAGATTAATATTATCGTGTAGATAGTAAAAGATTAACCAATATTTATCTGTCTCCCCACTAAAAATTTTTTGAAAACGTGATTTCAAAATTTTACGAAATGTGTATATATATCTTGCTTGAAATTTATATTGTACCTTACTATTTTATATATAGTATGATCATGTCCTTAGTTGTATATATGCGGGTTATCATAAAAAAATGAACTTGTAGAATTAACAGCCCCCTTTAAAATGTTGGTAAAGCCCCAAGCTAACTTTAATGATTACAGAATATGAACTAAATTTTATCCATTTATATTATACTCTCCGTATATTTCATGTCCAAACAGTATTAAATGACTTATTACAAAGATTCTCAGCAGTCCAATGTTGTGTGTGTTTGAAAATAGTAGTATATTTTTTCTTTGGAATTATTTAAACAAGATGATAAAATTGAATGATGATAATGATTAAAGTAAAATTTTCATTTTTTTTTCGCTTTATTCATTGAGTCAAAACTGGCTTATCATTTTTTTTTCTTTTAGGAACACAATATTATCATCATAAATGTTACACTACGTGTATTTATTCTCAGAAAAAAGTGATGACAATTTTCCCAAAATTTTCTTCATAAAATTTTACTTTATACATAAACATGCTACTCTGCCAGTGCTTTAATAATAATCTCTATTTCATTTTAATATATAGTAGATATTAAAAAAATTGCGAAATTAAATTTTAGAATTTGTAGGTATTTAATAAACTACATAACAAACTAGTTCAAAAATTGTAGTAACACACTAATATTGATTTAGTGATGTCGCAATATTAACAAAATTTTGTTTTTATGAATTTTAAGCAATTTAATTGGTGTTGCTAGGTGGTAAATTTAATATACGATATATACATAATAAATTCGACTTTGAACTTGGCTATAAATAAAAAACCGTTAAATGTACTCTTGATTAATAAAATAAATAATTAAAAGCAAACTACTAATAACCGAAACAAGAATTAATATTTATTTTATAAACGGCCCTCAAAACAATCGCAGAATAAATACGTCTTTTAGATATTTCAAATTCTGGAACACAGAAACGTTTTAAAATCTTTTCGATCGCTCAGTGCGCTATAATAGTAACGTTTATTACCCCTATAACACCGAAAATACAGCATTACAATAGTTAAAAAAAAAAACAGACTACTGTAGTTTTGTGTTTTTTTGAAGGATTGTTTATATTGTTCAAGTATAGGGTAATTTTGTCAAAAGAACACATTTTTGTGTGTGCAGTATTACCTAAGATTTCCAGTGTTCTTTAAAAACGACTGGAAAACAACAAACATTATAATAATATTTCTTGGGATAATAATCATTATAAATTTCAATTTATTGAAAATATAAAAGGTTTTAGAAAATTGGGAGCAAACTCATAAAAAAATTGGTCGAAGATTATTTCGAGAGAACTTCGCTGGCCCCTGTAGTATAATAATACAAATCCAGCTATTTCGAAAAATATTAAAATTTTATTATGCGAACATTTTTTTATGAAAACCCTTATAAGTTCAAATAAAGATATGTATGTAACGTTAAAGTAAATGTAAAGAAGCGTGCTGCGTTCACGTTTCAAATGAGTTTTTCCTTCACAAAATTTTGTGATGACGTCATCAACATTTTTGCAAACACAAGTAGGTATATGTATAACTTTGGATAGGTGCAGTGTAACACTAATGACAACAGTATTGTATTCCCAAATTTTCGGACTGAGCTGTTCCTGATTTAATCAATGAAATAAATTGACTTGTTCATTGATCTTTATGAGTCACCCTTTATAACAAATTTAAAAACTTTTAATGCAGTGATAAATCACAAGTATAGACTTATCATATTTTGCACATTTTGGATAAGATTTAGTAGACAAAATTTATGACGTCATCATTTTTTGAGGTGGATAAACCGATATATTTTGATTAAAAATTTACCATGCTTACGATAAGTTTAAAACTTCTGTAAGATTTTAAAGTATTCGGTTGTGCAGTTCCTGATTTAATCAATAAAATAAGTTAACGCTTTCTTTAATTTTTTGAGTCACCCTGTATACCTAATTCTAAAAACTATGAGTGCGTTGATAAACCACAAGTACACATTTATAAGATTTTACATATTTCAGAGGATTTATTGGGCAAACTTTTGAAATAACCTCATCAATTTTTTGGGAGGGGATAAACGAATAAATTTTGCTTAACGATTTACCATGATTACCATGACTTTCAAATATATACAAGATTTGAGAGCATTCGGTTTTTCAGTCTCAAAGTTAAACTGCAAAATTTTGTTATACAGTTTTGATTTTTTTTCCGAAAATGTGGATGTCTAGGGTGATTGTTCGACAGGGACTCACATACCACAAGTGCTGGAGTATCTTATTTTATAGAATTAAAAAAAAATACAATTATAAATTATGGAGACGACGTCATCCCTTTGGTGGTGGGGAGGATTACTCAAATTTTGGTTAGCGTTTAACCATCTACATGACATTTCTAATAGACGTACAAAATTTGACAACAATGGTGGTTTCGGAGATAACATGTTTAATAAAAATGAATACAGACGCCAGACAGACAGACGGAAACGGGAGACCGGCTTTTTCATACTCTAGAGTTAATGAAACGTGGAAAAAATGTAGATGTGGCAATTTGCCCGATGGACGCGATTATTATACTTCCTTAGCTTACGCTCGGGAAGTAAAAATGTTTAATGCTTTACATAAAACTTCCTCCACCTGCGAATCGTATTTAGATTTTGTAATCAGACCAGGTATAATTTTCAAAAGATGTATTATTTTTTTGTAAGACCGATCTTAACAAAAAAAATAAACAAATTAAGTGAACCGTTTCTGAAATAATAGTTACAATAAATATCTTGATGCAACTATAGATATCCTACATAATTACGTTATTAAAAAAAAAACAAATCAAAAACATATTACTCAAGAATAAACAGTACTACATGCCATTAAAATTTATTGATGAAACTTTGGAGATAGGTAATAACTTTCTGTAGGAACTAAATAATTTATAACCTCAAGATGAAATATGTAAATACATAGTTCCGACAGTTTTTCTTTAATAAAATAAATTGAAAAATTGGGATAAGGTTAATACGTATAGCTGAAAATTTGTGTATCTCAAACCTATCTAAGAACATAAGTAGCTAATCGATTAGACCGGTAATTAAGTAATTATTTGCATTTTATAACTTGTGAGACGACAGAAAAACATGGAATTAGACATTCATTAAAAGAAACCAATGTTCTGTTAGATATTGCTAATATAATAAAATGAATTTTAAACGAATTGCATAACCACTGATTGGTTTTTTATGCATCATCAAGTTAATTTTAGATTAGCATCAATTTCTTGTTGATACAGCCGACTATTTTGGTCACTAGCTAAATATGAACCTTACATATTTTAGTAGCATTTCGACATACAATTAATTTGTGTTTGATAATACTAATTAAACTTACATTAATATTACTAATTATTACTATTATTGTTATTTTTCAATTACGAATGTACCTTCAAACAAATTAGATAATTATAAAAGTTACTCTTGGCTAATTCAAATGTTCTACATACGATGGAAATCTTATTATTATGCATACCCATTACTTCCATTGGATCTAATAGATTTTCGGCAAAACTTTACTTACACATACCTGCGAGTTCAAAACAGGAGCAAACTGAATATTCTCAATAGAGATCCAGTTTATTTTATTTGTGTGCAGCTTTGGAATGTACCATGACACCGAAAAAATCGGTTGCAAAGCTAGACAAGGCAACACCTCGCATATAATGACACCGAGCTTTGAAGCAGACACCGTAGGGGTCAGCTGGTCTCGTTGTAGCCGTCGGGATATCACCAACTTTCTTGAGTAAGTATCTCTTTTCCGATTACAAGCACCATAAATTTAAAGACACTCCTAATTACCTTTTAATATTACCTTCCTTCATAACGAGAAAAAAAGGAATTCTCGAAGGATTTATGTGGCATTATAAGCTCGGCAAACCTTCGCTTTTGAATTATTGGAAGTAACGTTCGGGAAATGTCGATGATTTCTTCAAATGAGATGAATTTAACAGACCGTTGACGAATTTCCCAAAAAGATCTAAATTTTCTGTACATCACCGCTCAATGACTTTGAAAACAAAATAGTTTAGATAATACAATAAAAGTGTTTAAATATTTTAGCACACTGTATTTTTTCAAGTCTAACGTGTGTAAAAAAATGTTTAGTTCTTTAAATCCTTCGAAATTCGATGAATTAAAACAACAAGAACAGTTTACAAAATTTCTGACAACCTAACCTCTCTCACTTCGAAAACACAACCAGCACATCATGAATCATACCACTTGCATCTTATGACTCCTTTTTCTATAAAAAACATATGCAATCAATTTTAAAAATAATGCGAAAACTCTTTGATGGAAACGAATATATCATTTAAAACATATACAGTGTAACATTAGATACAATTACTAAATGCCTTTCTTTTTACTCTTTTACCAACTCTTCACTGGTTTCTTTCTCTCTTTCTCTCACGTGTGTCGGCCTATATAGTATATCTAAAAACAAATAATAAATACAATGTTAAAGTCATCTTATCATTTCAGTCGATAAGCTGTTTCTAAGATAACATACGAATATTTTAAGACCTCATTCATAAGACCTTTGAAAAATAAAAAAAATTGGTGGAAGGTTATTTTGACAGACCTTGAACAAATACAGCTTCCAAAAATGACGAAATTTAACTTTTTTTTTTATGAACCGTATGAGCTATAATTAATGCATATGTGGACTGTTAAACTACAAGTAAAGAAGCCGTATGCATGTTTCTATCTTTTTCCATGTGATGGCGTCATCACCATTTTAGTAAGGACACGTCTATCAATTTGTGATAAGAGCAGTGGGATAGTATTAACAGCAGTATTGTATCCTCAAATTGTAGGGAAAATAGGATGGGCAATAAAACATGTCACCTCATTTATTAATTTTTGTCAATCACCTCGTATAAGCAATTCTAAAAATATGAAAATACTGATAAACCACAAGTATAAACTCTTAATACTGTGTATATTTTAGATTTATTCTATAAAATTTTAAGATGACGTAGTCTCCAGTTTCCGCCTGTCTGTCTGTCCGTCCGTCCATCTGGCTGTCTCTGTGTCTATCTGACTGACTGTCTGTCTAACGATTGTATTCATTTTTGTTAGACACATAGTCTTCGAAACTACTGGACCGATTCTTGTCAAATTTTGTACTTTATTAGGAATATCATGTAGATGGTTAAACACTATTCAAAATTTGGTTAATCATCCCCACCAAGAATTTGATGACGTACTTCTGTTTTAAAATGATTTAAATGTTATACAATAATAAACTCCTATACTTGTGGTATACGAAACCGCTTTCAGTTTTTTCTCTAAACTGCCAAATGGTCACAAAAAAATAACACAGTATAATAACATGTTACCACTAAGTTAGGATATAAGCGAAAATGGTCCGGCGTCAGCATGCAGACCGGAAATTGCCATTTCGTAGTGTCTTGTTTTCTCTTTTTCTCTTGCACTGTGTATAGTCTATGTTTTTGACGCCACAATAATCTTTTTTATCAAATTAAGAATGAGTCACCCCATTTTCTCGAAAAAGCGAGAATACGCATATCTTTATTTAATAAGAATTATAATAATAATATTCAGAACATTCTGTTCGACTTCGAATGCTTTGAAATCTTGCAGGCTTTTTAAAGTTATCGCAGGCATGATAAATTTTTAATCACAATATATCTATTTAAAAATATATATTTTCTCGAAAAAGCTGGATTTGTTTTCAGGGGCAAGTTTCGAGCATTTTTTACTTCCCGAGCGTAAGCAAAGGAAGTATTGTAATCGAGTCTGTCAGCCGACTTTCTACTTTTACGAAGAAATAGGTCCCCCGTTTTTATCTGTCCGTCTCTCGGTCTGTCTACCGTGCCAGATTTTTATTAGACAGACAGATAATTTCCGAAAGTGCTGGGCCGATTGTTGTCAAATTTTGTATTTTTTTTTTATTAGAAATATCATGTAGCTAGTAAGACGCTAACCAAAATTTGTCTAATGATCCCTACCAACAAAGTGATGACGTCACTTCAAAATTGTACATAGTAAATGGGTTTTAAATTTCATAAAATAACATAGTCCTACATATGTAGTTTATGACTCCGTGTTGAGTTTTTATTCGAAACGTCCAGATTTTTGAAAAAAAATCAAAATTATAAAACAATATTTTGAAATTTTATTTTGAATCACCAAAACCAAATTCCTTGAAATCTTGCAAATATTTTAAAATTATGATAAGCATAATAAATTTTTCATGAAAGTGTATTTGCTCATCCCCCTAAAAAATGTATGACGTCAACTCAAAATATTGCTAAATAAATCCTATCTAAAATGTACAAAATATAATGAATCTGTATTTGTAATTTCTCATTCCATTCATATTTTTTGGATTTGCATATACAGTGTGACTCAAAAAAATTAATGAATGCGTGAATTTATTTTATTGATTTTAATCAGGAACTGCAAAACCGAATAATTTGAAGTCTTGGAAATGTTTTAAAGTTATCATAAGCATGGTACATTTAAATCATCAATTTTTTGTAGGAGAGTAAATATATTGTGATTAAAATTTTATCATGCTTACCATAACTGTAAACCATCTGCAAGATTTTAAAGCATTCAGTTTTGTAGATTCCAAATTAAATGTCAAAATGTTGTTTCCTAATTTTAATTTTTTTTCCAAAGATAAATTTCGGGTAAAATCTCAATTCGGAATCATAAACTACATTTGTAAGACTATGTTATTTGATACAATTTAACACCCAATTACTATGTACAAACCCTACACCGAAAGGTAGATGGGAGTTGATTTTATATATAGTGACGTCATCACATTAGTGGTGGGGATGATTAGACAAATTTTGGTTAGCGTTTTACCATCTACATGATAATGTAAATACAAAATTTGACAACAATCGGCCCAGTACTTTCGGAGATTATCTGTGTAATAAAAATCGGGGACGGGAGACAGACGGACAGACAGACGGACAGATGGACGGACAGACAAACGGAAACGAGAGACCTATTTCTTCGTCCTCTACGGGTCATGATAGGTCGAGAAAATGTAAAAGCAGAGAGTCGGCCGACGGACTTGATTACGATACTTCCTTTGCTTACGCTGGAGTAGTAAAAACACTCATTAGTGATAACTTCAAAATTCTTCGCAGTGCAAATAAAGGTCCAAAATTAAATATTCTTGAATGTTTTGAAACAAATAAATTCACTGCCTTTCAAAAAAATTGCAACAGAGAGTAGCAGTGAAAATACGTCTACGACGTGCTTTGGGCCCTTCATGTACCACGCCCTGCATATTCGCTGCATATTCGTAAAATTATCGAATCATTTCGACCGATTCTTCTTGCAATTTCACGGTACGACAAACCAGCCTTTCGCATACCCACAATTCTGCCTCTGTAAAAGGCGCAAATTTGTTCAAATTTAACATTTCTTCGCACCGACGGTATTTTATTAGATAAAGTGACACAACCGAGAGACCCCCATAGAAATAATATGTAAAGTGTGTTAAAAAAAATGATAAAAAATTTAACTTCTTCGCCAAGAAAAACCAGAAAAATATTACAAAGCATGCGTTGTTTACTACCATATTTTCATCATCTTTTCCGGAGAAGATGGTGCTTCGATGGGTGCATATAAATCATTAAAAAAGAAACGTGTTGCAATTTTTTTGAAAGGCAGTGTATAATAAGAACTTAATATTATTTTAAATGTTCAAACACATGTTTGCAATTCACTTTTATTAAATTTAAAATTGTAATACTCCACCCTAAGTATAATATCTCTGCCCAAGTCAAAAAGTATTTTGGAACCAAAATTATATTATGAAATTGATTCAGTTCATAATGTAATTCTAATAAGCACAGCCTCATCAATTTAAAATTTTTAAAAACGCTTAGGTATTAAGTACTTAAAATAAGCTGTAATCCGTTCACTTAATTTCGTATTGAAAAACATCTAGGCACCAAGTGTAAGTTGCAATTGTTAAAAAACTGTGAAGTGTTAAGTTGTGATTGTTAAAAAAATTGTCTTTACTTCGATAGTGTTAGGTATTAAAAAAAAATAATCTACGATCAACAAAAATCCTCATCTAGTTGGCGCTGAATTTTTAGTTGTCGTTCTTATTTTCCTTCGTTCCTTCCTCCAGCGTCAACTTGAGACTGTTTTTTACTGATCGTCCAATACAAATGTCATGAACTAAAAAAATGTGAAAATTCTTTTCGATTATACGAGTATGCCCTTAATAGATTATTACAGCAATTTTTTCAACAATGTATACGCATACACGAACACAGATAAATCGTACTTTTTAGATTTAGGTATTAGTGAATGTATTTACCATCTCTTTGCAATATACCGTATGTTTGGCAAAAACCAGGTTACTACTGATTTCCTGTTTTTAAGCAAGGGGCTTGGCCAATGTTTGCAAGACGAACCAGAGGATAATGAGATCTACGAGTACCCAGAACTGCCCCCTGGAGCAATGTACAACGCAGATTACCAGTGCCGATTCCAGTTTGGGGGTGATGCCACTGTTTGTTCTCCCTTAGATGAGATATGCTTTCGTTTGTGGTGTATGGTAAATGACACTTGCACGACACAGCTGAGACCGGCTGCGCCAGGAACATATTGTGGAAAACACAAGGTATTTGTAACAAAATTTCTCAAATTTAATTTTTCAAGAAAGAACATTTAATTTGCTATGTTAGAACCTGTAAGTTTAATGAGATTTGTACATCTCAAGTGTAAAGATTTTTTTTGATGTCGCTAATTTAATGTATAAATTGCGACCAACCACCCGTAACATACTGAGATAACGTTTTTGTGCTTTTGTGCTGTATTCTTATTCTATCATTGTAATTCACGATGATGTAACTGGCTTTCTGAAGCCACCAAGTGGCTGTAGCTATTTTATAATTAACTGAGTGCTGTATGAAGCATAAATTGCTTTCTTTAATAAACAGTATATGCAAGTAACTAATATTGGGAGATTAAAGCTATTACAATGTAAGCTAGCCAGTTCCTCTAAAGAACGGAATTCGTAAGATGTTTACTTTTCCTCGCTTGTTTTACCAATGATTGTTATAAATTCGTTCTAAGAATAATCACCACCAATTTTGTAAGTTTTCTTTAATTATTGGGTGAATTGAAGCCAAATTAATTTTGCTTTCTCGTCGTCCAAACTTTTAATGAACATTATTATTGTACTTAAGAATTCTGCCTTCTGAATAACGTTGGTGTCAGCATTAAAAGAAACTAGAAACATGAAACTGTTCCTCTGTTTTATAACTTTAGTTTTAAAATGAAAAATTTCACAATAGACTTACTTTTAAAGTAAAATAAAATCTAAACGTTGAATTTTACTTCAATGAGAAATACTTCATTTAATTTACAAGCAAAAAATCTTAAAACGTTTCGAATCTGATCTAATAAAATTAACTTGTATGGAATGCACTACTTGTGATGATTAATTTTTACTGATTTTTTCAAATCAAAAACCTATACCTATCACAAAGTTTGTTCATACTTAAAATTAAGTATACCATATAATTAAATAATAAAATAATAAAAATTACAACTCGTTTTCAATTAAAATCCGTTTTCTCTTATTGAAACTAGTTATGACTGAATGCCTTTGTTACAACTAGAATTTACTGCTGTCATCGGTTAAAACTAGTTCTGACTAGACAAAACAATAGTGCCATGGCGACAATAGGTTTTAATTTAAAGTAACTGAAATAATCAGAGCATCAAAAGTAGCTTCAATCTTAACGGAAAACAAACATAAAACGCGTTGTATCTGGTTAGAACTAGTTTTATTGAGCTTAACTGATTTTTGTTTTTAAACGGCAGTATTCAAAACTCACTTGACATACACCTTGTAAAGCTTTTATGACTTAAGCAGCTTAAACCAAACCACTCTTATATTACTGTCCATTGTTGCTATAACGGAGCTGTAAAGTTTTACTAGGTATATGTGAACTGAGTTAAGTTATACAATAGCCAGTTTCACTTATAAGGGTGCTTTGGCTTAAGCTGTGTAAGTCATAAAAGTTTTACAAGCAGGTGTATGTCAAGTAAGTTTTGCATAAATTCTAGTTGTAACACAGGCATTTGGTAAAAACTAGTTTTGACTAGAGAAAACGCGTTTTAACTGTAACATATATATTCAAATATTTAAATACAAAGTTTATGTAAATGAAAATTGTATCAGATTTTCTTCTAATGCCTCATAGAGAGTATTTTGACTTTGAAACGATGCTAAGTTAGAAAAATGAGAAACAAAGATATGTAAAATTATTTAAAAGCACAGGAGATCTACATAACAAAAATCTCGTAAAATAAATGGGTGGTAAAACCGAAAAGTAAACAGTGAAAATGTAATTAAATATAGGACCATCGGGGACACAGAAAACTGGGCAGAGGTGTCATACAATTGTCAAAATTTCTAAGCCAGACCTTAGCTACTCATAACCACGCTTTTAATGTTTGGCCTATTTGTCATTTTGACACTGACAAAATCGAAGTCTTAAATAAAATTTGTTTCAATTATATTAACATGCAGCACTGTCTGCTTTCAATGATTCTCGTAGTTGCGAATGCCAGCTGTCCTCAAACGACGACGAGCAGTTTTGACACTGCCCGGAAAATTGGTAATTATAGTATGTCAAAAAAAACAGGAAATTTATTTAGCCAAAATTATAGAAATTAAAAAATTTTGATTAATGACTATGATTCATTATGAGCACAATCAAGGAAACAATCGTCAAATATTTAACTTGACTACTTCTAGCAGCGTAGATACAATCTTTCTAGCCGTTTCAAAAACAAGCTCTCTCAATAAATTCGAAGTTACACTTAGAATGAATGTCGCAACAAAGTAAGAGAATGAAAAAGACCACGATGGCAGAGATAAGGTATACAGGATAAGTCTCCATATTTTCTTATTGTAGTTTCGGATATCACAAAAAAATTGTGTTAAAAAAAATGTCAAATTAAAAAAGGCACCGTATTTTATTGAGCAATAATCTCATTATTAGTGAAAATGAAAAGCAAAAGAAAATTTGAAGTTTTGAATAGCTATGTATTATAATACAGTACCACAAAAAAATTGAATATTCATGTTTTGCGTTTTGGAATATTTTTTACAAAACTTCGACCAATTGCAGGTAATCACAAAAACTGGCAGTGTATAATATAACACTTTAACTCGAAAATAATTTCGAAAAATTAGCTTAAAGTAATTAATGATACTTCGTCACTGCTGTTATCGTGATCACTGATCATTAGAGAGCGGATTTTATGAAATTTGCATATCCATTATTTTTTGCATATAAGTCTTGATATTTAATATGTGAACGAATCATGCTAATTAAAAATGAATACAGCTATAAAAAAAATTGCATATTTGCATATATTTGCCTTCTGCTGCATATTTCACGTAACGGGTGCATATTTTGCATTTTTATCAATTTTTGTGCTACTTTGAAAAAAAAAATGCCATTCGATCGGCATTTTTCTAGAAAGACGAAATTTCATGAATCATATTGCAAATATTGTCCTGAGCTTCAAATAACTGGGAAAGGTTTGGGTTTTATGGTAGTTTGGAGGAACCACTGGGTGTTAAGCCATCCTTCCAGGTAAATTCGGGTCCTAATTACTTTTGGAAATACCCTTCATTTCAATATTTTTGTTTGTTACTTAAGTGTATTAATGGTATGTTTTATGGTGGTCGAAGGGACGTTATCCGTTTTCATCGTGAGTTTGCATTTAAGTATTTAAAGCGATAGAGATGTGTGTAAAAATGTAGATAACTCAAATTAATTTATGAATTAAACCTTTTCCTGAACTTATTCTTCAAGAAGGAACTGTGTTTTGTTGTGCCTGCTGTAATCCGATAAGTATTTTTACATCTGTGGACGCAGTACGCAGTTTTTCTATTTACAAATACATACTTTAGAATCACTGGAAAAATTTTTGTTAGAATATTTCGAAAAATATTTAAAAATAAATTGTTACCAAAATAGTAATTAAATAGTCGATTACTACTATTTTTTAATTCGTTCTGTTTACCTATATTTATTTTTTAGTATAAGAATATTATCTTAAAAAATGTCATTTATTTGTCAGTGAGATCTAATTAAACACTTTGCAATGTGATTTATGTATTTTTTGTAATCAAAGGTAAGGTGTTTTTGCAATTTGTAAATAAATTTAGTTCGGGGTTATTACGCTTTTTTTTATTTTTGGAGCATATGCAACTGCATATCTCTGCATATATTAAGAAAGTTATTGCATATTTGAATAAATTTGATGCATATCATATGATCATATTTCCCAAAATTTTGCTGCATATTTTCCGCTCTCTACTGATCATACTTGTCAGGAAAAATAATTCTTGGAAATTAAATACATATATCAGTTATATCAGTTACCAATTTAATAAAAATTACCCAAAGGAATCTGTCTACTATTGTATATATAAACTTTGCACAATATTTAGCGGAAATGCAGATAACAACATTTGTTTTTTATCTGGTTGTTTTGATTTTTCAGACCCAAAATTTATACAAACTTGCACATCGAATGTTTGGTGTAAATATGGTTTAAAAAATTCTTACTGTCTTCGCAACTCATTGGCAAGTTAAGTGACTTTTGTTATCGAAAAAAATTACCATTCAGTACGTGTTTCTTCTGACACAATTGCTTCAAATGTTGAAAAGAATTTTCAGATTGAATTTAGTTGAAAATTTTGTCATATAAGTTCATACATTTTATGTCGTAGTATTGAACAAACAAAATTTTTTTCAAAAAATTGTTAAAAACGGTGAAGTAGTGGTTTTCTACGAAAAGCGTTAGTTTTTTAGAGAAGAATATTTCGTCCATAAAAAATTACACAATCCGTTAGAAATTCAGGAGACGTCCATATATTTTCCGACGATGACATCTATTTATGTCGTAATTAGGAGTAGTGTGTCAGTGGTGTCGATATTACATAAGACTAATGGTCCCGATTAAACGAGCAATTAATAATAGTTTTATCGGTTTCAGTGGTGTCAGGATCAGAAATGCCTGCCGATAATGGAACCTCCTGTCGCGATAGACGGCGGTTGGGGTGAATGGAGTTCCTGGAGCGAATGTTCTCGCACCTGTGGTGCCGGAGTGTCCGTCACACAAAGAGAATGCGACCACCCGACACCTACAGCCGGAGGCCGTTTCTGCATAGGAGAAAGAAGACGATACAGGATATGCAACACGGATTCTTGTCCAGATAACAAACCCACTTTTAGGGCCGTTCAGTGCTCCACTTACAACAATCGAACGTATGAAGGCAAAAAATACGAATGGCAACCTTATTTTGATCAAGGTAATGTGAAACTACTTAATTTAAAACCGACCTTTCTTACTATATTTAATTTATGATCCAATTTTTACATGTATTTTAGTGCATCTTTTCGATAATAATCGAAACTTTCAAAATGTATTAACATTCATGGTTTGCGTAGTGAAAAGTTTTGAGTTCGCGAATTGAGTAGAACGGGAACGGTAAACAACATAAAAATATATCCCTATCTTTTATTTTCATGCATGAAGTTTGATAACTGACAGGAAGTATTTTGTGTTACCAATTATCAGCACGCACTACTTATGTGTTTTCTTTACAGTTAATTTATTTAATTTCTGCACAGACCGTCATCAACACGGTCCTTTCTATTATTATATTATTCGATTTTTCAGTGTATTGCTTTAGTTATTCAAGTGTACTAATAATACATTTTTGCAGAATTTATCCACAATTATTGTTATGTCCAAGAGAGATTATAGCACCCTCACAAACAAGTTGCCCATTGTTGTCAAAGGTGTAGGCATAATTCAGTCCTATGAAAATCATTTGTCTTATGCGGGTTCTTATAAAAACTTCTGCTGTCCCTACAACTTTTTTGGAAATGTTTGTCTTGATTGAAATATTGTTTTTGAGTTAATTCATTTACTTTAAATAGGTACCAACTTAAATCAAAACTTTGATTGTTTGTATGGTTCAAAATCTTAAAACTTCTTTCACTGGTCGCTCTCTGACCTGAAGAATCACGAATTATAAGGCTTTGTCTGCAGCTCCTTCTTTTTCAGAGGAAATGAAAAATAAAACTAAGCCTGAAACTATAACTGAACCTAAAGATCCAGAACAAAGTGCGTTTCAAACTAAAACAGACAGTGCTGGAAAAGTCAATCCTACTTATTAATAATTGCAATCTACAAATAGAAAAAGTCCGATCTTAAAAACAGTAAGATTTTAGCTGATTGTTCCTCTTCTGAGGATAATACTCCATTTATATTTAATTCTATCTTCAGAGTAAAAGTCCTCAAATTTTGAGCTGTACAAAAAGATTAATAAAATTTATCAAGCTTTAGTTTAACTTGACGGAAATTTTTATGATCTGAAGGCCTTTCCGTTCGATATAACTTATGTGGTGTTGAAAGTAACTCGTTGTTATAAGTAAGTGTAACACGTTTGGTCAAGTCAGGTCAGGTCACCATCACGTAGTTGTTATACCAAGAAATGTAGTGAAGAATCTATGCTGAAAAATTGTAAAGCCATAATTGCAACACTTGAAACGCGGTTAATTTAACAGCAGAAAATAAACAACTGAAAGTTAGTCATAATACTCATAATGTATGAAAAAGTCGATGCCCTATAATGGTGGCACTGTCGAAACGTAAATCTGATATTTAGAGAGCGGAAAATATGCAGCAAAATTTTGGGAAATATGATCATATGATATGCACCAAATTTATGCAAATATGCAGTAACTTTCCTAATATATGCAAAGATATGCAGTTGCATATGCGCCAAAAATCTAAAAAAAAGTTTAATAAGCGAACTAAATTTATTTACAAATTACAAACACAGGTTTCCGGACCTTACGTTTTATTACAAAAAATACATAAATCACATTGCAAAGTGTTTAATTATATCTCACTAACACAAAAATCACATTTTTATTGATATTATTCTTATACAAAAAAATTGGTCTAAAGAGTTTAGATAGTACTTCCCTCGCTGTCGGAAACTTGACGACTGCATGCCTATTGTGTTTTTTCTCATTACATTTTTGTAGTGGGAATTTAAAAAAAAATTGCGATGACGTCATCAACATTTTTGCAAGGACACGTATATCAGTTTGGGATAGATGTAGTGTAATACTAAGAATAAAATTATTATATTCTCAAATTTTCGGGGAAATTGGGTCGTTTTGAATATTGATTTGTAATAATCAATAAAATAACGAAACAATTTACTCACGTATACGTATCCCAGGCAGCTGAAAATCGTGTATGTATAAACATTCTTAATTTAAGATGACAGGCGTAACAGCATACTTGAGAGTCAAACAGAGAAACTGTAAACAAAACGACCATCGGTTTTATTGCTTCGACTTCCGCTTATTATATAAAACATTGGGTTTTATTTTAATTCTTGACGGTGAAATTCACAATTGGTTGATTATAAACATGTCTATTTCACATTCGCGGAACCAAGTGAACGCATAAAACAAATGCAGGTCTGTAATGTTAAAGTCGATGTAAATAAGCATGCTACCCTTATGTTTCAACCGAGTTTTTCCTTTAACAAATTTTTTGTCTACCAAATTGGGTTGGTTGGGGTGTAATACTAATAATAAGTGTTGCCTTTAATTTAATCAATAAAATAAATTGACTTCATTAATTTTTTTGAACCACCTCTTAAGAAAATCTAAAAAATATGAATGGAATGATAAATCACAAGTACAAACTCATCATATTTTTTGCATTTTAGATAGGATTTATTCAGCAAAATTTAAGGGTGACGTCATCAATTTTTTTAGGAGGGATGAACAAATACATTTTGAACAAAAGTTTACCATGCTTATAATAACTTTAGAATATTCCCAAGATTTCAAAGCATTCGGTTTTGTAATTCCTGATTAAATCGATAAAATAAATTCACGCCTTCATTAATTTTTTTGAGTCACCCTGCATATGCAAATCCAAAAATATGAATGGAATGATAAATCACAAGTACAGACTCATCATATTTTGTACATTTTAGATACGATTTATTCGGCAAACTTTTAAGCTGACGTCATCAGTTTTTTGTAGAAGATAACCAAATATATTTTGACTAAAAATTTATTACGCTCTTTATAACCTTAAAACATCTGCAAGATTTCAAAGCATTCGGTTTTGTAGTTCCTGATTAAATCAATAAAATAAATTTACGCATTCATTAATTTTTTTGAGTCACCCTGTATATGCAAATCGAAAAAATTTGAATGGAATGACAAATTACAAGAAGAGACTCACCATATTTTGTACATTTTAGATAGGATTTATTCAGCAAAATTTTGTGGTGACGTCATAAATTTTTTAGGGGGGACGACCAAATACGTTTTGATCAAAAATTTACCATGCTTATGATAATTTTAAAATATCTTCAAGATTTCGAAGCATTCGGTTTTGTAGTTCCTGAGTAAATCAGTAAAATAAATTTACGCTTTCATTTATTTTCTTGAATCACCCCGTATATGCAAATCCAAAATATCTGCACTTACCTGGCAACAATTATTGTAACTTGGTCCAATTTTTAAAATTTGGAGATATATATCCTCAATGACACTCACTCTTCAACAGTTTTTTTCGAATTGGCTTCGCATTTCGCAATCGCAACTGTTTCGTCTCGCCACCCAAACAAGTGATTCCCCCCGCGCCGCTCGTCGTTTCCAACTTCCGCTTTTTGCTATGGCTGGGAGTTTGTTTATATAAACTATGTCTCAACGTGCGATAAAGAAATGACACGGTCAGTGGCGTAACTGAAGCAAATGCATATGTACTTTTTCTCTGCTTCTCTCGATGTATAAACATTAACAGTCGAAGTTAATCATGTATTGACAATATATAAAATGATTAAGAGATATTCTTCCGATCACAAAAAAAAATTTCAACATTTGCTATTTATGGTGCTTATTCACGAACACACAATAACAAATAAATAAATATTATAACATTATTGTTGCGAAAATCGGAAGTGCTGTTCTTGATTTGATGGGCGAAAAAAGTTGGAAGTGCCGGGATCTGTTACCGGAACTTCTAATTGCACTGCACACTCCACCTCCACTAAACCACAGGCCACAGTTGCTTATGTTAAAACTCATCATATTTTGCACATTTTGAGTTAAACTTTTTTGGCAAAAATTGTAGATGACGTCATGAATTTTTTCGGGGGAATAAACAGATATATTTTCATTAACAATTTACCATGCTCACAATCAATTTTAACCATCTGCAAGATTTCAAAATATTCAGTTTAGCAATTCTTGATTTATTCACTAAAATAAAGTGACTGATTCATTTCTTTTTTTGAGTCACCCTGTATAAGCAAGTTAAAAAATTTGAATGCAATGATTAGTTACAAGTGTAGTCAGATCATATACTTTATTCAGTAAAATTGTGAGAAGACGTAATGAATTTTTTTTGGGGTTGATAAAGAGATACATTTTGATTAAACAGTTACCATGCTTACAATAACTTCAAAACGTCAAGATTTCTAAGTATTCAGTTTTGCAAAATCCATTCACTCCGTCATTAATTTTTTTCAGACACCCTGTATAAGCAAATATCAAAAATTTTACAAGTATAGTCAGATCATATACTTTATTCAGCAAAATTCTGAGAAGACGTAATGAATTTTTTTTGGGGTTGATGAAGAGATACATTTTGATTAAACAGTTACCATGCTTACAATAACTTCAAAACGTCAAGATTTCTAGGTATTCAGTTTTGCAAAATCAATTCACTCCGTCATTAATTTTTTTCAGACACCCTGTATAAGCAAATATTAAAAATTTTAATGCAGTGACAAATCACAAGTATGGACTCATCATACTTTACACATTGAAGATGGCATTTTTTCAGCAAAATTTTGGGGTGACGTCATAAATTTTTTAGGGGGGACGACCAAATACATTTTGATCAAAAATTTACCATGCTTATGATAATTTTAAAATATCTTCAAGATTTCGAAGCATTCGGTTTTGTAGTTCCTGAGTAAATCAGTAAAATAAATTTACGCTTTCATTTATTTTCTTGAATCACCCTGTATATGCAAATCCAAAAAATATGAATGGAGTGATAGATCACAAGTACAGACTGATCATATTTTGTGCATTTTAGATATGATTTATTCGGCAAATTTTCGAGCTGACGTCATCAAGTTTTTGGAGGGGATAAGCAAATATATTTTGACTAAACATTTATTATGCTCTTTATAACTTTAAAACATCTGCAAGATGTCAGAGCATTCCGTTTTGTAGTTCCTGATTAAATCAATAA